TAAACGTGGATGAAATGTTCAAAAAGGAAACTGGGAAAACGATTGCAAAATGAGGCCATTAAAGTGGTCCTTTTTCGAAAACATGGATGAAACATTCAAAAGGGAACTGGAAATGCGACGTAGGAAATTAGGCCATTGAGACTAAAATGACATTGGTATGTTCGCAGTATCACTCGCTGTTTTGATTTGTGTGATCTATGAATTGAAAGTTTCTTTAAAGAAGGCAGAAATTTGTCCGGCTTGCAATTCTTGAAGTGTGCAGCATCCTGCTTTTTCAAAAGAAAAGACGACACAGGGGTGAGGCCAGTTTGTGTTGGTGCTGTTGAATTGGTGCTGTTGAATTGGGAGGAAAAGTGCTTAACATTGATTTGTTTGAATTCATAAGTGACCAATGAATAACTGTTGATGGAGAAGTCACAGGGATACATGTATGTTCTGCACCAAAAAAACCCACAGTAAAACACTGATGTTGGTCATTGAACTTTGTTGAGTAACAAAAACTTAGATTCAAACCCGTGTTCCAGGAAACTGAAGAAAATGAAGCATATAATTTGAGCTGTTAGGGAAACCTTCATCATTTCCTGTTAAACACCAGTGGATTCCAGAGAGGACAAATATTATTTCTGGTAGTTCTTGTACCCAGGGGGCAGATTTTAAACATTGCTTAGCACGGAAGAGTTTGCCTAAGCAAACCCTGCGCCAGTTACCACCCAGATTACTGGTACCCATTCATTGTTAAGACCGATTCCAGGCCGAGTCTAGCTGAGTATTGAAATTAGTAAAGCAATGTTTTCTACCATCCGATATCTTTTTCCTGCCCGTGCTTGACATGGTTCACAAAAATATTGTTATGCATTTATACATGTTCATCGTAAATGGAGTGCATAGCTACATGTACATGTAGATGTACAGGGTTCCTAGAGTCATGGAAAAATCTTGGAAAATCCTGCAATTTAAAGCTATCAGGGAAAGTCCAGGAAAAGTCATGGAATTCTTGCATCGATGAGATGACTGGCCAGTGTATTGTAAAAGAGGTTCCTAACATGCCAAAGCAGCATAGGAATTGGCCATGGAAAGCTTTAAGTTTGTCCCGGAAATCCTGGAAAAGTCATGGAATCCCTTGCATCGGTGAGATGATTGGCCAGTGTATTGTAAAGAGGCTCCTAACATGCCAAAGCAGCATAGGAATTGGCCATAGAAAACGTTAAATTTGTCCCGGAAATCCTGGAAAAGTCATGGAATCCCTTGCATCAGTGTGATGACTGGCCAGTGTATTGTAAAAGAGGTTCCTAACTTGCCAAAGCAGCATAGGAATTGGCCATGAAAAGCTTTAAGTTTGTCCGGGAAATCCTGGAAAAGTCATGGAATCCCTTGCATCAGTGTGATGACTGGCCAGTGTATTGTAAAATAGGTTCCTAACATGCCAAAGCAGCATAGGAATTGGCCATGGAAAGCTTTAAGTTTGTCCCGGAAATCCTGGAAAAGTCATGGAATCCCTTGCATCAGTGTGATGACTGGCCAGTGTATTATAAAATAGGTTCCTAACATGCCAAAGCAGCATAGGAATTGGCCATAAAAAGCTTTAAGTTTGTCCTTGAAAATCTGGAAAAGTCATGGAATTTCTTCTTTTTTTCCTTCTTCTGTGTGAACCGTTATGTAGTTGCCAGCTGATTCGCAAATTCCTTTCGTCTGAGCTAATGGTCAGCAACAAACCATCAGCCGAGAGAAAAAAAAACAATTTGCTGCCTTGTCCTTACCCTGGTCAAGTTTATAACAGCTTTCCTCTGCGACACTATTTTATTTGTCTTGGGGCATATTTATTCAATCAAAAGTCCAGACAAACTACTGCTGTTTCTTAGTGTTTTTTTTCCCCTGAGTGAACTCCTTACAAACTGATGTGGTGTGAGACACAGGTGCATTCTTGTTTTGTTTTTTTGTTCACTACTAGACCTCAACTGTTAAAATATTGAGGTTTTGATGACTTTGTCGCTGTGGTATTTATTCATTTGCAGAACATTCTTCCTAGATGAGTTTTTTTGTGGCTGTTGATTTGTAATTATTGTGAGACACGCTGTGTTCAGAAAAGTCAACAAAAATGTCTCTCTTCAATACTCTGTTTTTTTCCCTTTCTCAAAATAAATATTGCACATTTTTGCGTCGAATTTTAGATTGAGAGTTTTCATGTTATCATTGCATTGTTACTTTTATATGTCATTGCAAAACGAAACAATTTTACTAAGTGCTGGACCAACATCCATCTCTGACCCTGCTTCACATAATGATTCAGGACCAAATCTGCTGAAATCCACCACAAGACCACCACTACCATGGCTGGATTTTGATGGACTTGGTACTCATGGCTTGCCTACCTAAATCCCCTAAATTGGGGATGGATTTTGATGGATTTGGGAAGGTTTGAGGTAAAAGGGCTTTGCCTTGTCTGTAACCCAAAAATCTACGCAGTGGTGCAATCCGTGAAATCTCTCTATGGAGATGGTTGCCATGGTACCCCACACATGCTGCACGCATCAGCAAATTGGTTGTGCAATCAAACCAGTCATTAAGCAAACATTGACGTCAAATTTCTTTTCTTGTTTTATTTCTATCCCCATGCTCCGTACCTGTTCCCATTCCCATCATGGACACAGCACGTGTAATGAACATGTGTTCATAGGGTGCGCAGAAAGCAGGACAGATACACATCTCTGATCATAATTGTGGCTTAAAAATCCAACCGACAATACCCGGTGTTTGACCACTTTAATATGACTCACTTCTAAACCAGCTCCGTCTGGCTGTGCCATAATGAACTTCTTATTGTATCCTGTGCATGTGACAATGGAGTTCTGTCAATAGATTCTGACCAACTAAACCATTCAGCGTTTTCTTTTGGTTTTTGGCTAGTCATTTACATGTAATGGCAGTTAAGTTTTTTTTACTGTGAGGTTCCGAGCATTTAGACACATGAATCAGTTTGAAGATATTTATTGGGTAGATTTATGAGTTACAGTCATGAGAGTGTGCAGTGGACTCGGTAGTCCTAATTAAAATGACTCAGTGTGGGATGAGTTGACTCGACTTGACTGGACTTGAGTCGAGGCATGATCATCAATGCGTATAAGCTATCTGTAATTGGCTAGTTCCAACCCCCAAGAATTCTCGAAAAATGACAACCATGTGGCGACAGTGACGCAACTCACATCATCATCATCAAAAAATGACTCAACTTGAATTAATTCAATCTGATTATATAGTCCCCAAATTCAAAGAAAAACTTTTTATTCAAATATTTGTTTATTAATTTTTAGTTGTTTCTATTATATTGTTTATTTTTGATTTTTTAAAATTATTTCATTTATTACATTTAGCATCTCTTTAGTACAAAATCGTCGGTCACACATGATATGAGGCGTATCGTATGCACAAAGCCCATAGAATATACGTCACTTCGTGGTGCATCCGACGAAATGTAAATGGCTTACTTCGGAACGGAAGCTTGACTCTGTAGAAAGTTAGTAGTTCTGCATATTCTGTGCATTGCCGGCATAACCAACAAAGAAAAGAGAAAAAAAAAGAAAACAAGAAATAACTGACAACAAAGGCACACACACAACAAAAACGCAAAACAAACAGATCAGCAAATCATTTGCCTTGTAGTATCAGGATTTGGTTTTCCAATTAATCGTTTCAAATCATTTCAAAATCAGTAAAGACTGACTGTATCTCAACACCAAATTATTGGGCTGGGCCAACAAAACACAGACTGGTTTCCCATAAGATGAAAAATAAAAAAGCGCTGACATCATTTAGTGTGACTATGATTCGCACCCCAAAACGTAAGACCAAGTGATTAGCGAGTTCAACAAATTATTAAGGTCCAAAGTTCTGTCTGATGATTGTGTGTCATGGTGTCTATATGCAGTTTCTTTTGTGCACTGTTTGCCGTAAACCCAGTTTGACTTCCATTATTGCATGACACATACCGTAGTGACGACGAGTGTATACGTGTACGACTGTACGTGGACTTAACAAATTAGGCCAGCATATCCAAATATAAGCATTTGACAAGAACTGTACTCGTAATGAGGTGGGGCCTAGCATGTCTTGTGACCGTCCAAGTTTAATTTGTGAACATTGCATCACTCTTGCCCTGGCTTATGAAACATTGACTCTTAATAATGAGGTAAAACCAATATCAAGAGTTATGTAAGTTGAAAGTTGAAAGACACAAGTGTTAAATGCATGTATGTACGTGGATTAGTTTGATGTCACAAAAAATATGAAAACAAGCATACAGATAACATTTTATGTTTTCAGGCATATTTTTTTCAGAATTTAGTCTGAAATTGGACTTTTTTAATCTGAGAGGAAGATTCAAATCAGTATAGGAAGAAATGCATCTTTTAAACCTTTCATCCAATTTTTAGATTTTTTTTTCAATTGACAATGTCATACCTGTTTTTTTTTACAGATAAAGATGAATTTAAATAGGGTCATACATGTGTACACATATCATTCCACTTGCTTCATTAGAATGTTTATCCAATCTTGATCCATTGCCAATGATTCTCTAACCCAGAACACGGAGTTTCACTTCTGATAGTGGGTACAAAGGAAAATTCCCATATCTGGCCATCACTAAGTTTTCCCTTCAGTGACCTATCAGCCATCAGAAAGTGATACCCCTGTATGTCTTAACAACTCACAATAAGCAGGGAAAATATTATAGTATTTACTGAGAAAACACTTACAAATTTTCAGACCAGTCTCATACGGTTTGTGCACAGGGTGACAAGTGACGGCCAGATATGGGAATCTTTCCAGTACAAATTTTGCAATGCTACGCAATCTCCATTCTTTCACTCCAGTTTTTTAAAATTGACCAACATGTAAGCCCAAAGAGACATTGCGTGAAACATAAATACGAGGACATGATCTCCCAAGTTCATCTGACTGATTTTCTTTTGAATGTCTCTTCTTTTTTTCCCTACCTTCTCCAGCTGACGATCCAGGAACTTCTATCCACCTCAGGCCAAGAGGAGAAGTGTGGCCCTTCATGTGATGTCATAGTCTATGACCAGAGCACGCAGGACGGCAGCCGACTGTGCCCCGAAAGCTTTCTGGTGGTCCTCCTCAGCAAGTTGGCTGAGGCATTCAAGACGGTCTCCATGTTATCAGGTCCGTGCTAAATGCCCTCACACAACCCGTTACCCTCACACAACCCCCATCCCTAACCCTCACCCCACTCCTAACCCCTCACCCTACCCCCACCCCTAACCCCTAACCCCTCGACCTACCCCCACCCCTAACCCTCACCCAACCCCTAACCCTAACCCTCAGCCCACCCCTAACACTCACCCCACCCCTAACTCTCATCCCACCCCTAACCCTCATCCCACCCCACCCTAACCCTCACCTCACCCCTAACCCTCACCCAGCCCCACCCACCCCAACCCAACCCCACCCCAACCCTACCCCAACCCCACCCCAAATCCCCCACTCCAATACCCACCCCCACCTCCACCCACCCCACAACCTCCACCCCACCCACCCAGAAGCCCAACAGTAGAATAAAAAAAAACACTGAAATTCATGAATATCTTGGAGAGTTAAACTTTTAGAATTAGAATTCTTTGACTTGCCCGGAAAATTAAAAAAACAAACATGAAGTTGGAGTTTGAATTTAAACGGGGGAAAAAATGTTTACTTCAAATGTAGTGTCATTGAACATTCATATTCATTGTTATAAAGGGTAACGAGAAACAAAACATGCGATTAAGATGAATGTTAATTGAATGCTTTAGGTTAGCAGTGGGGTATCAAATTAAAATGAAAATCTTTTATAACCGCTGAGGTTCCGAGACAAACCTCCAGCTTGGAATAAGAAAAGATATTTAAAGTACAGATGAACATGATTGATGGGTTGTTCTTTTTAACTGTCCAAAAATATACTATCACCACGAGCCGATATAGACTATGTGCTAACTTAGTACATCTCACTCGGATCTCCAACGTGTTTAGAACATGACGTTAGCTATCTAATATTTGACCCTACGTGAAGCAGCAACACACGTTCTCTGCCAATTGTCCAGTCCCTGCCCGTATAATAAAAGAACAGGGAAAATAGCGAAATATATACCATCCACGTACACGAATGCTGGCTATTTATATACCAGAGACAGGGTTGGTTGAAATTATGTTGTGCGTAGTGTGGCCCTTGTGTGTTTGTGTACTGTGAAGGGAGGCCATCTGGCAACGTTATGGTGCAAATATCAAGGTATGAGTCATCGCTGTGCTTACGCCAGCAGTGCGGGGTCGGCGCTCTCTTAATATAGCCTTGCTTTTGGCTCACGGCCATGCATCTAATATGTGGCATTGCCTGCCTGCGCACGGCCCAGATGGTCCAGTGTGCGGGAGTTGGGTAGAAGTTTATCGTAGGAAGAGAGAAATATCAAGCAGGTATATAAAACACAAATGGGACAGATTTAAAAAAAAAATATTGGAGCAGTTTAAAATGTGTACAGATAAAATGTGTACAATGTATCTCTGCTAACTCTGGTCAAGTACAAAATTTGTTCGATGAACTTAATGTTTACAGGATGTTTGTATGCATTCTATACATGTATTGAGAGGATAGCTCATCACAACCAATTTTAACATGAACATATATATATGTACACACATACTGAAATTTGTATCCTTGTGGAGACATTTCTTTGTTTTCGTGTTGTAAATTTTCCAGTTTGAAAGTGTAGTTTCAAAATGTTCTTATTTTAACCAGAATTAATTTCCTTGGCTGAAATTCGGACTTAATATCCCTTTTCTAAACTTTTCCATTTGCGACGGATCAAACCACCTTGGAAATTCCTAGTTTTTGAGAAAATTCATAAATCTATTTCGTGAAAACCTTGTGGAGACGTATCTATAGAAATTGCCCTGTGGAGACGTATACAATCTTTTGTTTCCTATTGTGTGCAGGTCTCCAGAGAGCACGGTGTATCAGATCTGTACAAATGTATATGTACGCGTATTCCATCTCAATGCGCAGATTCCTAGCCAGCGTCAGAGAAACAACATACAGTTCATGCATGTACCTGTACATGCATGTACCAGCATTTCTACCCAAAAAATATATCTACATGTATTATAAATCATGTACGTAGATAACATACAATTGTCAATACAGCCACATTGAACAGTATGCACATAATGTACACATGTTTCACTTTTGAGTGCTCAGATAAAATCAATACCAAACATGTACATGTATCTGACCGAGAATTGCGCACCTTGATGCCAACACGCCGATATCAATACGCTGTTCCTCGAACCATCGTAAAATTAATCCTGATTGTGCTTGTGTTCGTGCGTCACTTCCTGTCGGGGCCAGGGGGGGGGGGGGGGAGGAGTGGACATTTTAATTGATGAGTGGGGGAAGGGACATTTTAATTGATGAATGGCGTTAATTATGGGAGGACTGTAAAATTAATGTGTAAGAGGATTCCTGTACCCGATTTCTGTCCCCGAAACATCATTGTGATTTATGTACGTGTACATTTTATCAGCTTTGTTATTGAACGAAGTTATTGATAAATAGCAAACTTATACCTACCGGTAAGCAGAAGCTAGGTATTACGTTATTTGGTGAATAAGTACTGAGATAACTAATTTATAAACGTTGTTTGTCTTATTGTACAGGCGGCTTCACAGCCTTCAAGACAGCCTTCCCGTACCTGTGCGAGCCCCAGGGCCAAGCACAATGCACGATGCTGGGCCCGACCCTGTCACAGCCCTGTCTGCCGGTGGCGAAAGTGGGCCCCACCCGGGTCCTGAACTACCTCTACATCGGCTCGCAGCAGGACGTCCTGGATGAGGACATCATGCGAGCCAACGGCATCAACTACGTGCTGAACGTCAGCAAGACCTGCCCGTCTCCCACGCACATTGCGCCGGGGCACTTCCACCGTATCCCCGTCAGGGACAACTATGGCGAGAAGCTGCTGCCGTGGTTTGAAGACGCCATGGATTTTATCGGTGAGACCTTTGTAAACATTTTGCCACTCATTTACATGTACTACCTCTCTTTAACATTCTGCACTTGTAAGGGAAAGGACTCCGGACGTTAGGTTTGCGGTAGCACCATGTGGTCGAATCTCTTGTGACTTTTGTGTGGTTCTAAACCTAGCCCCCCAACTCCATCAAAACCAATCCCCATTTTGATGGATTTTGGGGAGCTGGTCCTGCAGGCCTGGTTTGACTAAATATTGACGGAGTATGATGGACTTGGGCCTGGAGGCCTGAAGCAAAGCATGCATTGGAAGCAGTGTGATTGATGGATTTTGACGGACTTGGTCCAGTACATAGTAAAAGACAGTAGGTTTAAAAGAACTGGTTTGAAAACTGGAGGTTTCAAACAGAATGCACTAGCCAGTTGACCATTGATACTCTAGATGACTAACATTTCCGTTGGGTTGAAGAATTGTTGGTGAACCACCATGACTTGAAAGCGATCTTTTCAAAGCAGAGCTATGACTGAATGACTGGTATGTGATTTAAACCTGAGACCTCTAGTGTGTTGACATGTCACAGTGTTTGTTTTTTTGTAATGCAAGAAGTAGGTATGTTTATGCATTTATGCCTGAATTCCTTTTTTTTTGTTACCAACAGAAAAAGTGCGTTCAGCAAACGGTTGTGTCATCGTGCACTGCTTGGCTGGTATCTCGCGTTCACCAACAGTGGCTATTGCCTACATCATGAAGCACATGAACTTGACTGTCGACGAAGCATATAAGTGAGTACCTAAAAGGAAACGCTTTAATATTCAACAAAATTCTATTGCCTTTTGAAACAATTACTGTACACACAGTATAACTATTCATGTCATCATATATCAACAGAGGGCACTGTTCTTGTTTATTAAGAATTGATTGTGCTGATGGCCAAACCAAGAAAAGAAAAGAAATTTTGAATTTGTTAGATTGGTTTTAATCTACATGTACGGTAGTTCTTGGAGAAGAATTATTCAGTCTTATGAGTGACTTTTTTTTTCTTGTCCAGATATGTGAAAGAGAAACGTCAGACTATATCCCCAAACTTCAACTTCCTGGGTCAACTCTTGGAGTTTGAGAAGCGCCTTCATCTCGACCATCCACCTAAGGGTATGCCTGCTGAGCCGTCAACAACAGCCACAGCCTCAGCAGCAACCCCAACAAGGAGCCAGCCTACCTCAGTTTCCAGCAATTCTAAATCGGTGTCCTGCAAGAATCAATCCGAGGTGTTGTCCTCATCAAGCCAGCCCAATCCGACAGTCCGGGTCACCAAGCCCGGGGCTCCCTTTCCCGAGCCCATCCTTCTGACGGAGGACACCCAAGCAGTTGCAGAGGAACCATCCACCCCTACAAGTGCCGAACACAGAACTCACAAAAGATCCATCAGTGAGCAGAAGGAGGGAGAACTGCCCGCCCCGCCACCAGCTCGGAGTCCCAATTTCAGAATACGGACAATACCAAGGCCGCGTGGGCTGGACGTCAAGGTGTCTAAAATCGGGCCGATCTTCCTGGGCTCCCCGCCCTCATCTGAGTCTAAGAAGCCACGGTCAGGCAACAGCAGCCCCTGTGGTTTGCTGGAGCAGTTGGCTTGGGGCACCAGCCACTTGAGCGTCAACTCGCCTGAGGTTCGTCAGAAGAATCCGTTCGTTGAGGCGTGCGCAAGACTTGCCGAGAAACGCCTTCAGGAAGAAGTGGAATCCCGTGTTCGAGATGAAGCCAAGGCAGTTCAACAATCCAACAATGCAGAAGTGACAAGCACCATCACCAACACCCCTTCTATTCCCCAAGAAATGCCAAGCAAGCCCAAACCCCAAGAGCCAGTGGTCATCCTAGAAACCAAAAAGCCTGAACCACAAACCGCAAAGACTGAACCACAGTTGCAAGTGACGTCAGCCACTGAACCTAGCACCATTAGCAATCCCAGCATCACTGGGTCCCCTACCATGTTGATACTCCCGAAGAAGGAAGATCCAAGAAAATCTGTTGAGGTCAAGAGACGGGGCATTCTGAAGAATGACGGCAAAGGCAAGGTCAAGGGGAGGAGTAAGTCACCACGCACTGTCAGCCCACGTCCAATGCAAATGGCGGTCAAGCAGACTCTGACAGGAAAGTCACAGGTCACTGTCAAATCTACCTGCAGGGAGGCTGCTCACGCCAAGGTGAAAAAGGCAACCTCTCCCAGCGAAACGTCTGTTGGTTTTCAGTTCGGCCGAACACGGGTCGGGAAGTTCATGGATGCTGTACTTCCGAACTCCGGGACCAAGTGCAAGACAAGTAAAGCCAAGAACAAAGAGTATCCACAGCTCATGGTGGCCAAACAGGTCCATGTCCAATTAGAGACACCCAGGCATGCATCTATCGAGAGCAAAAGCCCTTCTCCAAAAGATCCGCTGAATCCATTCTTTGCCCGTCAGATCAGCTCGCATTCACAGAACAGTGACACCAGTTCTGGAATTTCGCCGTCCTGCGACAGCGAGCCCGGATCGATTGGTCTCAATAGCCCTTCTAGCTCAGGAATCTCCCCGGATTATACCGGCCCATCACCAAATCTGTTTGACAGCTTAGGGAATTTGGTGCGTTCGCCTTTACTAACTGAGGTCAAATCCTGTCCGACTTTTTCTACAATATCAGAAACGGAGGTTGGTTCCCACGCGCCAGTCCAGCGATCGCACACTGTTACTCCTGCAACGGAAGAATGCAAGACCAACGTATGGCAAAAGCGCAAAGAATGCGGCAACAGTTTTGAGGAGCCTGCATTTAGACCCGACCCGTCACCCTTGGACAGACTGGGTGGATATGCACCGAAACGTGGCCAGGTGGTCGCAGATCACACCGACTGCGAGCGGAGCGACACGCGCTGCAGCAGCCGCAGAACGCCGATGGTGGTGGCAGGTCGCAGCGCGTCGTGCGAAGAAATCAGCTCCTGCGCCAGGGAGGCAGTGTCTGAGATAGTGGTCCGACCGAGACGAGAGATTATCGATCTGAGTAGCTACGGCGCCGGTATGGATGGCGAAGAAGACGACTACGACAGTCGCTCGCTGAGTAGTCAACGCTCGCTTAGCAGCAGTTGTGAGATGATTGAAGTTTCATGATAAGTTGGAATTCAAGAAGTGGCAAAAAAAAGGGTATGCGTACAATACTGAAATAGCCATTATCTGTTCATTGAAGTAATCTGTCACAATAATTCACCGCAAACAAGCATCATGCTCTGATATTTAGATGCAAAAAAAGGTGACATTGTATCCAGAAGAACATCAGATTTCCATTGATAATCCTATATGATCTTGGACCATTGGCAGCACAGTTTGCATTATCCAGAAAAATGATTTTTTTTGTTGTTGTAAGTTACACGTAAGTTTAGATTTGTGTTTATTCATCAACTCATCGATGTGCAAATGTAACTTTGTAGTTTTCTAGGAAGTAAGAGGCGATGCGAGTGTGGTAGTCGAAAGTGATGCATCTATTAGTTCCGATTCAGTACACTATTTTGTGCTTTCTGTTTGACAGAAAATAATAAGTATTTTTCTGTATTTATGTATATTTTACCAAATCAAATTATTTGTATATAATGACAAGCCAGGTGGCGCTTTACAAATAAATATGTCTTGTATATTATAATTACTATTACTATCATGAATTCTTACGGTTGCAACAAAAAAAAAGTGAGCTTTTTTAAACTCTTCTCTGCTGACAATGACATTTGAAGTTGGGGATGGAACAAATATTCAGACTTCTCATTATTAAACAACAATGCAAACAAGAAGTAAAAAGTGGACCGATTTGTTGTTTCTGAGATTCCAGCTATTTTGTTGTTTTGTAGTTCATTGGTGAGGGATGGTCTTTGACAAAAATATTTAAGAAAAATAAAAAGACAAAAAAATTTCATTCTATTTATTTATTGTCATATCACCTCTGCACTGTTAATGGAATATTCCACATTCTTGATTAAAACAAGGAGGGACCACTTTCTGAGGGGTGAACGTGTAGAGGCACATAAACAGTACAATTTAAATGAAAATATGATTCCAGCCTCTGTGCCACCCCTGAAAGAATGGAATTGCCCTCATTGTTTATAACGAAATGGAACAAACCATTATGTCATGCAGGGGAGGATATTTTTTACAAAATTGGAACTTGTATTTCATCAATTACTACTTTATATCAAAATTTTATATAAAAAAAAACAAACAATGGATGTCTAAAAATTAAAAAAAAAAATGCGAAGTATTCTATTTCATTTTCTTGAATACTTTGTCTTGCTCCTGAGTTAAAATAATATTTTTTTTGTGACTTTTGTGTGAAGTGGATTTGAAATATTAAAAATGTGAACGAGTCCTATAGAAAGTAATCTGAACTACCTCCAGATGTTGTAGATGAACACAGATATATAATGTTTTTTATCATAACAAAAGTGTCTTGTAGTAGCAGACAAAACTGGTAAGATTTTGTAGAAGGTGCTGTGTGAAAACTTTTTCTAACTACAAATACACGTAGTGATGATTTACTAGTAAATTGAATTTCCTCTATTTTTTGATGTTCCCTGTATTTCAACACTTGTCACAAACCTGTCGCTTAGAAGAAGAAGAAAAATTTGTGTCCAAACAATCTCAATGTAGTGTTTACATTTGGTGTATAACTAAACCATAGAAAAAAAATAAAAAGTGTCACAGAACTTGTGTTTAGTGTTTGCAATGTATGACATCTCAACGTCATTGTGCATTAATCTTAGTTTCTCAGGGCACCAGCCTAAATAGTTGGGCCCTTCCCAGTTCCCAGTTCAGTAGGCTGGCACGTGATCCTCAAATTATGGGGATGAGGTTGAAACTGGAAAGTGAAGTTTTTGAAAGAGGATATTATTTTGAATAGCCCTAAATGTATTCACTATCGTTGCAATTCTAAAAAGATCTTAATGTGGGTGCAAGAAAAATAGTTTTTGCACAAAATAGTTTGTTTTTTCTTACAAATAATGTTAAAAGTTAATGGGAAGGTTCAACGATTAAAAATAAAAATCCAGTTTATCCAACTGTTCAGCATTTAGTGCAAAATAAAACAATAATCAGTTTATAAAAGTTAAATTATTAACCTCAGTATCAATCTGGAGCAGTCCGACAATCTTTAGAGGTGAATAGGTCAAAGAGTAATGCCAGAAAAGAGCAATGCCAGAAAAGAATAAAATATCAAACAAATCTGGGTTTTGGAAGCAAGGCAATAATGCAAGTCGGAAATGATGCGTCGCTGGCTCTGCTCTTGTTTCAAGCATGAGTCATCTACAGTGACAGCCCGCGGGCAATTTGTGAGCCCGGTCACCTGTAGAAACAGGAAGACTTTCTGGTTTCCTGATGTCACCTATTTGCGATAAACAGGTCACGGCAGGGACCAATTTCACGAAGCTTGTAAGCATATAAATTGGCTAAGCACTGAATCTATTTGCTTAGAAGAGATAACCGGTTACCAGCCAAAGTCTTGCAGTGTATTTTGCATGTGACTGGTTCTCCACTGGTTAAGCACAGAAATATTTGCTCAGCTTAATACATAATTCATCCATGATTTGAACAATTTACAGGATGATAATTTTTTTCCTTGCCTGATGTGCTAAGCAAACTTGGGTCACCAGCCAAAATGTCATGTGGTGCATAAACTGCTTGCCACTGGTTCCCCGCTGATTAATGCTACCACATTAATCGGCAGCTCCTAGAAATTGGCCTAATTCCATCATATTATGCTTGTAACGCTGCACAGAAATATGGCATGATGCCTAATCAAATTTTTAGACAGAAAAAGCAGTTGGTTTACATCCAAAAAAAAAAAAAGAGTCAAACTTTGAAGTTATTAGACTTTTGATCAGACTTTCAAAATTTGTGCCCAATTTTATCAGTTGATATTCTTGGAAACCAGCAAATCATTTTAATCAGGTTTCGGGCTTAATTTAGCAGCTTAGTTAAGGATTTTATTATTTTTTTTCACTTTGCTAAATTCAAGTCTGGAAATCTGTATCAGCCATTTCCATTCACTGACATAACGCCTTTCTTTCTTTCTTATGTATGTAGTGCATGAGCCATACATTCATCAAGCAACGTCTATAAAAATACATGGATATTTATGGGATTGTAAATTTACTGTACATTCAGGATCAAAAGTTGCTGTGTGTTGCTGGTATGGTAGCAGCGATATGGATTTTAGTCAACTTAAGGCGGGCAAAAGAATCTGTTTGCAAAAAAAAAAAAATTTAAACAATTCTCACAAAATGTTTGGTGCTTAGTATATTTTTGTGCCTTGATATAACTTAGCCACAGAATTTATGAGGTGATTTGAAAGATTGGGTTTTAGTGCTTACAGACAGCGGGCGAGAAATTGAGTGTGCGTGCCAATCTGGTCATTAGTTAACTAGTTACTTTGGTTTGTGGTTAGTGTGCTAAACTGGATTATGGTTGTATCCTAAAACCGGACCAAACTAGTTTCTGGTTTTTGCTCTTGGAGTTCAATGGTTATGTTTCATTGTTGGTTAATAGTAAGCAATAGTCAAATGTTGTAATGTATCATTTCATGCAGGCTTTTTGTGCACTTGGTTCATCATATTTGTTTTAGAAACTCAGCTGCTGTCGGATTTACTCTTTACATGTTTGTTAAGACATCAGTTATATCTCTGATCCAACAATGACATTTGTACTTTCCGAAATGCCTAACCGTTTGAAAGATCGGGTCAAACACAGAACTCATTCCCAATACAAAAAACAGGTTTCGTTTTCCAGTTAATATAACTGGAACAAATTTCACTTTAACTTTTGTTTTTTAAATAAAGAATCTTTAACACCACAATCCTGCTATCAGGATCCGAAATAAACATCCGCATTCCAAGTTGGTAAATAAAAACCGTCGTAATTTGACTTGGTTGTTTTTCTTTCGAATTGTAATAATTCAACTTTTTAAGATGACCCGAGGAATTTGAGTTTGTGTGAAGTATGAAAATCAGTTCAGATAATCTTTGCTCTGAAAAAGAAATGTAGTGGTCCATCTGCAAACTTGTCCATGCATCAAGCAGTGCTTAGTGAATGTGTGAATCTTTAAACGTTCGATGGTTGTATTTATTTATCATTCTGTGAAGGACACAAAATATAATGGATATATAAATTCTTCAACGTCATTAGAGGCAAATTTCTGTATTTTTGTGGCACTTTCTGGTATCAATATAAGAAAAGTATATATTTAGGTGTTACAAATTGTGTTCTTGCCTTTGTTGTAAAGATTAAAACAAAAATACATATTTTGTTAGATGTACACATGTAAAAAAAAAATGGTACCGGTATTTGAATTTGAATGTATTGTACTATTCAAGAGAATGTATTACTAAAAGTGGTAGAATGGTTTCCTTTCATGTTAATTTGGTGATGCTTTTGTAAGAGTGAATTTGATTGGTCAAAGCGTGTCGTCACTTCATCCCACCTTTGTCTACACCAACCAATGGAATGAATTGTTAGATGATCCTCTGTGAGTTTTCTCCCTTCCATCTTCGTACAGAAAAAAAAGGTAGACTTGTGTTAGGCCCCTTTGACCAGTTGTATATAGGAAGATAATTCAAGACTTGCGCAGATAAATGGAAGTAGAATGGAAAGGAACGCCGACAGATTTTGTGGTCAAGTGTGTAGCTTCATATAGAGATACATCTGTAGTTTTTCTGAGCCTCTGTAGAAGGTTTCTTTTTCTGTTTTCATTTTGTGTTTTATCTGTAAATGTGGAAGTGAGATGAGCAATAAAAAGAATTACACATCTGAGAGAAAAATGACAAACCTAACCAAGCCGACTAAATTTGTGTTGTCCTGTTTGTGCTAATAATAAAATAATGTGTATTTGTGCAAATTCCATCAGAATATGATCAAATGCGCATCACAATTATTAGTCTTGTTCATCAGGAATGAGAACCTGCAACAGCTCGAGATCCGCACAGTTTGGTCTCTACCTCCTTCACATGTACCCATTTATACTCCTGGGTGGAGAGAGGCAATCGTAGTAAAGTGCCTTTCACAAGCACACAAGCCCCGTGTTCCCTGTTAATGTTCAAATTAAAGAATTATTAGAATTAAAGAATTTCTCACTGAATATAATAATTATATTGCTGGTCCTGATTCTTCATGCTGTTGAAGACTTCCATTTTGTGCTGGTTGCACTTCAAAAACCAGGACAGATAATTTGACTCTGAAACTACGCGCTACAAAAGAAATCAGGGAAAACCCCATTTGACTCAATATGAAACCGCAACCACATTATGGCGCGCATGTATGAACCAGGAAGCAAACTGAACAAGAAATGATGTTACTGCAAGCAAGCATGCTGCAACTACCTCAAGGAACTAACTGATCTTATAACATTTTTTCCCCCCATCTACAACGCATTACAATGCAGTGCCAACCTACTGACAACATTGTTGTTAGATGTTGGGAGGAATATTATAAATAATCCAAAAATATCAAAAACTGGCATTGGTCGTTGAAGACTGTATTAATATTCAAGGTGTCATAACTTGAAGTGCACAGTTCTGTATTTTGTTAAATACATGTACCTGTTCCGCTGAAATTTGATACAAATAAGGGAACACACTTTTTTTTAAAAATTAATTTGCACCGGTTTGGCTCATGAATGACCATCAGGCTATATCCCAAAGCATCGACAAATATCCATTTTGTTTTAAGTAGGAAAATAAGGAGATATTGTTTGTTTTGGTCAAAATATGTTTAGAGAGCACTTTCAGCCCGTGTATGATCATTTTCTGACAACAGAGGGCGCTGTTGCAATGTTGTGATGTCACTCCAGGTATAACCCATACGCTGTTTAAGATTTTAACTAAAAAAAATAACTTAAAAATGTTTTACCTCAGTGAATTATGCTTGAAGTAAGCTTACTTACTGCTTGGCAGGTATCAAATCAATAAAGAAAACCAAGGACCGTCTAAAACACCCTTACAAATTGTAGTACAAATGGATTAAGGTAAACTGGTCATACCTTTCAAAGATCCACTCAATTTCTACTGCAATGCCGGGCCTCTTTGGCAAAAAAAAACACCCCAACTTGACAACAGTTAGTTTATAATACCATGGTATTGTAGCAAAATTTGATTTTATTATTGTCCCAATTGCACCTTTAAACTATAGAGAGCGCTTTGGCCACAGTAATCCATAGTCATGCATTCACCTTTTCTCCAGTCAGATTTATGTCACAAAACCATTGAGAGCTTACTTTTTTTCAAATCAATCTACTTTAAACCACAATAGATAGTATTGGGGCTGCAGTCAAACCACAGATGGAGCTCTCATTGTAGTCTTTATTGTTTACCCTCACATTGCTAGGGATAAGTTCCTTGCCCCATATTACCTCTAGCTACTGTACTGAGTCTTTATGCAGATATCTCCAAATAACAAGACACACTGCATTAGTATTCCTAATCTTGACATTCTTATGCATATTTTGACCCAGCACTAAAGCCCCGGCAGGGCGTGGACTTGCGACTGGGGCGTGGCGGTGTGCATTGTGGTTCCTTATTTTCCAAGTTGCTGTACATGAATGGCTGCTTTGGAGGTGGAAGCCTAGTTTAGTTTGGCCTTGTTTATATGCAAGTCGGACACTATGTTCTTCTAATTTGCACCACCGCCACCGTTACTTCACACGAAAGGGTTCAGTGGTCTACATAGTCTTGTGAGTATGTTC